GTTCATTAAGGCGTAAATGTAGAAATTATAAAATACTATTAGAACCCGCGGCTTCGCTCGCACTAAAATTACAAATAAAAACTAAAAATGGAGGTTTCGTACAAACTTTTATCACCTATTTTACATCCTCATGGGATGAATTTCAAAAAATGCTAAAACACGTATTTATTTCATTGTATTGAAGAGCATTAATACCAAGTTTCAAGTACTTGTGATCATAATTATTTTGGTTTGTATAAAAAAATGCTCCTGCAGCCTAGCCTATATCACTCTCCAGTCCTCCAACTCTCTCCACAAAAATCGCGCCGATCCGTCACTCTGTTTCGACGTGAAAGAAGGACAAACAAACATACAAACTTTCACATTTATAATATTAAGCAGGAAGTATTGATTCAGAATTTAAAAATAAAATTTTACTAGTACTTCTTGCAAAACATGCTTAATTATGTTTCTAGACCTTTTTTTTTTTTAACGTTGGGAAATGCATTTACGCACGACGTGTGGGACTCACCGGCGTAATACAGCCAGTACTACCCACTAAAACCCAACAAAGCCTTCCCCCGTCTTAATGGGGCGTCGCAGGATCGCTTACGCATTCAACTACGACGCCCCGACGGCAGGTCCGCCGAAGCAGACCATCACAACCATGGGGTTGCTCCACAGTCCACTCTGCTATCAGAGAAGTACCAGGAGCAACCCGCATGGTACACCGCCCTCCGAAGAGGGCCACCTCCCACCGCCCACCGAAGTGGGCAACCTCCCTGTGCGTTTCTTAGCTTCGCTACTGCTACTGAGCCCCCCCACCACGACAAGGTGAACGCACGTTGGGGGGGAATTATGTTTCTAGACCTACTGTAATAGTAAATAAATAAATATGTTGGGACATTAACACACAGCGCCATCTAGTACCATGGTAAGCTACGAGGCTTGTGTTATGGATACCAGATAGTTGATACACTACATATATATATATAACTTTAAATACATACATATTATAAATATAAACACCCATGACTAGAGTACACACATTCGTGCCCATCACACAAATGAATGCCCCCAGCAGGACTCGAACCCGCAACCGCTGGCACAGCAAGTAGGGTCACTACAAACTGAGCCAAACGTGTCGTCAAAATAAATGTCGTCATAATAATGGTGTATAGTGTACAATAGACATTGTATATAAGTTACTTTATTTGATGATGATGATGATGATGAGGAGAACTCCTGGCAGATTCCGGCTATGGCGGCCAATCTCATTGAGACTAGCCAACTGCGCAGGAGATATTATAGTGCACAAGTGTACGCGCAGACACAACGTGCACTCTCTATTTCTGTCACTCTCATACTCCGGTGGGACGACTGCTCGACACGACCAGTGAGAATTAAGGCGCAGGACCGACAGCTTTACGTGCTCTCCGAGGCACGGGGGTGAAACACCGCCAACTTCCCAACTCCGGGTTGTTAGTGAGACTTACTATACAGAAAGACTCAATAACTAAACTTGGCCCGAGCCGGTACTCGAACCCAGGACCTCCGAGTGTACAGCCGTACATGCTAGCCACTACACCACCGAGGCAGTGTTACTTTATTTAGAGGGTTATTAAATATAAATTTATATTAAAGTACTCAATAAAAAATCATATTATATTATTTAGAAAATTCAAACGGATATTAAAAAGCCATTTCATGTCTAGTTATGTATCAATCTATTTGAGCAGCACTTCATAAAGAGGGAAAACGTGAATGATAAATATCTGCCGTCTTATTCACTGGCGCAACTATTAGGCATTTGGACGATGATAAATTTTGTTTTATATTTTATGACAGTGACAGAATTTTTATTTAATAAAATTAGCGGCTTTTTAGGGAAAAATTATTTAGGAACACATCAAACACAAACATAAAAAGAAACATTCATTTTTATACTTATGCTTTTCTCGGTGACTCTTTAAATTGACATAACTTTTTTATTTATGAACCGATTGAAATAAAACAAATATTAAATATTGAGTGAAGCTTAGCACAATATATTAGTGAAAACTTAATCTAAATCAGTTAAGCCGTTACTGAGAAGCGTGCACTAACGGACAGACAAACAAACAGACAAAAAATATAAAAATCATTGTTTTGTGTTCTATTGCGTTGACAAAGACCCCCAATTTTATTGTTTTTCTCAAATATCTTCCTTGTACAGACAGCGATCAGTTACACTTTTATTATATACTAGCGGCTCACTCTCGCTTCGCTCGGGTTCTCCTCTAGAATAACACTAATAGAGATCTATTAGTTCCCACGGGAACTATAGTTTTTTAACTATCCCACGGGAACTCTTTAATTTTCTTAGATGGAAAGTATCTAAGATGTTGATCGGGGATATAAGGTACCACCATGCAAAATTTTATTTAAATCGGTTCAATAGTTTCGGGGATTAGCCCGTACAAACAGACAAACAGACAGGGAAACAAAAAAATAAAAAAAAAACTGGATTTGTTCTATTTGTCTTCTTACATCCCCCTGACTTGGTTTTTAGCATGTTTTTTGCTATGTACAGACATTCGACCTCTTTTGTTTTATTATAGTATAGATAGAGATAAAGATATAGATAGGTTACCTTAAAGAACAAACACTTTGGTCATGTATTGGTCTCATCAGTAACATATTATTGAGTTGGTATTTGTATATTAACTAACTTTAGTTATCATTTAACTTAACTACTAGTTTAGTTCATTAATATTACGTTTGTGGGCGGATTCGTATTCAATGTTTATACACAAAACACGTGTACAACTGAGCCTCGTTAGTCACTAAAGTTGTTTGTTGATCGCTTTGAAGATTGGGCTAACAAATATTTCTTGAAAACCAAGAAAGTACAATTTATTTGATAGGCATTTTTTAATTTCCAATACTAATAAAAATTATTGTCGCACGAATGAGTGATTTCAAAATATCGTAGTTTCTTTACTACCATTTAAAATTAACAAAAAATATATCTTATAATTTCTTAGATTTACGCGAGTATTATATTTTAGTATTAATTTAATTATGATATGAATTAATATAGAAATGGGTAATTATTATTTATGAATTTGCAATATTTTTTAAAAACTGAGTTGATAGCAATACCCATGATATCATTTGATATATAATATTGTATTATAAGAATATGAGGAAAATGAGATGAACAACGGTTGGTATAGTAACGGCATTAAAAATAATAAATAAATATGTTAGGACATTACACACAGCACCATCTAGTTCCATGGTAAGTTACGAGGCATGTGTTATGGATACCAGATAGTTGATACACTACACATATAACTTTAAATACATACATATTATTAATATAAACACCCATGATTAGAGCATAAACATTCGTCATCACACAAATGAATGCCCCTAGAGAGACTCGAACCCGCGACCGCTGTCACAGCAAGTAGGGTCACTACAAACACCCAAACATGTCGTCGAATGTTATTGTTCTATCTTTCAAATAATTACAAGAAACAATTCTTTCTACCTACGTGACATTGCTGAAGTAATATGTGCTCAACTGTCACGTTTTGAAGCCACAAGAAAATTGAAATAAATAAACATAGAATAATTATTGCCATTTTATTAAAAAAGAATTTTTATTCTAAACATTTATCTAACAATAATGCAAAAAACGTTCGTTAATACTATATGCGGTTGATACTTTGCAATACAGAAGCGTCAACCTGTATATAGTATTCCAACGACCCGATCTCGCTTCGCTCATGCTCTAATTACATCCCCCACGTCATTCAATGACTTCAAAACATCGTAATTTCTCTATATATTTGTTTATTCATGAAAACATACAGCTTTTTATATTACATATTAATAGAATTAATAACATATACGTTAGCCAAAACAGTTTTTACAAGTAAAGAAGAGACAAATCCAATATCTAATTAAAGAAATAGCCAAAATAAAATTAAAATAAAATGAGAAATAAATCATGCAGTTCTAACCACATCTATAATAATATTATAAAGAGGTAAAGTTTGGTAAGAAGATAGTTTTAGACCTGGGAAGGACATAGGATACTTTTTATCCCGGAAATCATTCCTTAAGGGGGTGAAAATGGGGATGAAATTTGTATGGGTAATCAATCTAAAAAAAAATTTGACTCACACTACCGCGACACTCATATTTCCAATGTATCACTCAGTCACGCCTAAAGTAGTTTTACTTCAATAAATAGTGTTTACCATATGAAAATCATGAGAATTTCTTTTTTTTTGTGCTGTAAAAATGCTATTTTTACATAGCTGTAATAATTGAACTTTAAAAAATTCAGGTACTGCGACATATGAATATATCTACGAGATTAATTTAATTTAAAACATTAATGAAAACAAATATGACTCCGAAATGAACTATTAATTTATTATGTACTTACGTACACATAAAAGTGTTTTTAAAAATGACAATTTAAATGATATTTAATTTTAAAAGCATTTTTGCTACTGAAAATTTCAACTATCGTTACGTTTCAAAGTTAATGAAACGAAAAAATTTAATGACTTTGATGTTTTGATTTTATGAAATTGAGATTAATTATTTTTGTGATTGAAAGAAGGAAATACACTTTGTTTTTCGTAAAAGGTCGTGTTTATTTTTAGTAGGCTAATTACATTGTATATAACTGTGTAGTTACTGCCTCGATGGTGTAGTGGCTAGCATGTACGGCTGCACACCCGGAGGTCCTGGGTTCGAGTCCCGGGTCGGGCCAAGTTTAGTTATTGAGTCTTTCTGTATAGTAAGTCTCAGTAACAGCCCGGAGTTGGGAAGTAGGCGGTGTTTCACCCCCGTGCCTCGGAGAGCACGTAAAGCCGTCGGTCCTGCGCCTTAACTCTCACCGGTCGTGTCGAGCAGTCGTCCCACCGGAGTATGAGAGTGACAGGGATAGAGAGTGCACTTGTGTCTGCGCGTACACTTGTGCACTATAATATCTCCTGCGCAGTTGGCTAGTCTCAATGAGATTGGCTGCCGTGGCCGGAATCGGTCAGGAGAACATCATATAACTAGCAATGCTCGCGGCTCCGCACGCGTTCAGATGACCATTGCAGTTTTTGTATTTTTACTCAAAAATGAGATAATTTCCCGCGGTAAAAAGTCCTATATGTTGACTTGGATAACCAGCTATCACAATACCAAATTTCATGAAAATCCCTCTAGTGGTTTTTTTGTGATGCGGTAACAGACAGACAGACAAAAATTCTAAAAACTATAGATTCGGTCTCCGTATCGATAATAAATCATAATATTTATTTCAATAAGATTTTCCAAGAAATATCTAATGTACAGATTCGGATTATTTTATACTTTGTTTACGGCGAATCATTAAAAATATTATGATGGCCATTTTGCACCCCTGTAATTCGGACTAGAAGATGAGATAATTGAGATTGCACCTTGTAAATAGAAGCACGCCATAAAAACAACTGTTGAGTTTCTCACCGGCTCTTCTCGGTACTATATTAGAGGTTATAATAGACTAGTCTCAGTTAATTCAATGTGTTCGAAATTCCTAAGGAAGATATCATGTTTATATATTAATTTTTATATGGGGTCTTACAGTGTTGTTTTAGGGTTAAATTTTTCCAACGTGCGTTCACCTTGTCGTGGTGGGGGGGCTCAGTAGTAGTACGAAGCTAAGAAACGCACAGGGAGGTTGCCCACTTCGGTGGGCGGTGGGAGGTGGCCCTCTTCGGGGGGCGGTGTACCTTGCGGGTTGCTCCTGGTACTTCTCTGATAGCAGAGTGGACCTTGGAGCAACCCCATGGTTGTTGTGGTCTGCTTCGGCAGACCTGCCGTCGGGGCGTCGTAGTTGAATGCGTAAGCGATCCTGCGACGCCCCATTAAGACGGGGGAAGGTTTTGTTGGGTTTTAGTGGGTAGTACTGGCTGTATTACGCCGGTGAGTCCCACACGTCGTGCGTAAATGCATTTCCCAACGTTAAAAAAAAAAAAAAGGGTTAAATTTTTAACAAAAAAATGTTCGGTTTGAATTATTATTTAAATTATTATTGAAAAATATTTAAAAGAAATATTTTGGGCTTATTTCAGAAGCAGTATTAGCGTTTAGCTGAAATTTTTGACATAACTTCCTTTACCTTTTCAGTATCAGAAGAATTTAATTTTAAAAGAAAATGTAACGAATAAAAATATTACATTATGTTATATTAAATACCGTCCAATTTTCGCATCACACGACCAACAGGAGATCCGAGTCCAACATTCAGCTATGTAGATACTAGATATGCTAGCTATGTGATCTCGCTATCATTTAATACGATTAAGCTTCTACCACGAATATTACTACTAGTAAAACTCACGGCTTCGCTCGCGCTAAAACAACAAAAAATTCTCTAAAAAGGTAGTTTCATACAAAATTTATAAGATGAATTTCGAAAAATACTGTAACACGTGTTTATTTAATTTTATTAAAGAGCATTAATACTAAGTTTCAAGTAATTCTGATCAAAAATATTTTTTTGGATTGTATTATAAAAAGTAGACTATGTCACTCTCCAGCCCTCCAACTATCTCCACACAAAAGATCACGCCAATCCGTCACTCCGTTTCGACGTGAAAGAAGGGCAGAAAAACAAACAAACACACTTGCACATTTAATACAATATTATATATTAGTATGGATATGAATACCATATACCTTATACATAATATACTGATATTATAATTAATTTTTACATTATTCGGTTTTACATCATACCTAATTATAATAACAATTCTCATTCATAGCAAAATTTACATTTTGTTTCATTTTACTTTTAGATCTTTACATAAAATATTTTCATTTATTTGCAGGTGTAACCAGTCTTCGTGACGTAAAACTCCTAGTGGAACCCTCAACTGTTATCAAAGGTGGCACCGCAGCCCTCATCTGCTATAGAGACATGCAGGGTGCTCCTTTATATTCAGTGAAGTGGTACCGCGGTAACCACGAGTTCTTTCGGTACACACCGCTTGAAATTCCTGATACACGAGTGTTTGGAATACCTGGAATATATGTTGATGTGAGTAGACTAGATGCATTTTCTCCCTAAGTAAAAGAAGTATTAAGGATCCATAGTTCTAAGTTAAGAAATATTTCTAAAATTTGTGATTATGTACGCGTAGTCATAGTATATAATTTGAAGCAATAGTTTTATTCTGTCTCCGTTATCTATGTATTCTCATAGGACATCAAAGTGAGAACTTGACACGGACACACTTATCGGTAATAACAGAAAATTCCCCATCATTTGTTACAAAGAATCTTCAAAGGTCAAATTGTGTGAAATAAATAAAAATAATTGAAAAAAAGAAAAGTAATGAATGAGACATAAATAATAGGCATAGGGGGTCATGGGGGTCGTTATTTCATGACAATTTATCGAATTTGATAGATAATGACGGGTTTCATAAATATATTCGATATATTATAACATAAAAAATCATAAATTATATGGCAGTAGATAAAATAAACTTGGATAAATTTAATGCTTGCTAGTGCTCAAAATTATATATATATGTATATAGGTACCATAATAATATTAAAAAAAAGTTTCCATTTTTTTATAACATTTAAGTCCATCAATAGCTATTAAACAACAAAAAAAAAAAGAAATCGGTGAACAAACAAAGGAAAAAAGGTATTATTTTATCTTTGTCTTTTTATTTACAAACATATACAGATTACATATATAGATACTCATCTGGTTAAATTACTTCATATCGTACATCTTTTTAATTGATAACACCAAAGCTCAGCAAAAGCTTTTATGCTAAAAAATAAATAAAAGAAAACCGGTTTACAAACATAGTAAAAAAAAGTACTAAACCGTTTTATCTGTGTATTATATATATATATATATATAAACTAACCAGAACGTTAGAAGAAGTCAGATATGTGCTACCTAACAAAGTGAAGATCGATCGTCAAAACTTAAAGCGTATTCTCGATCAAAAGAAATTCTAACGTAAATGATATTTACATATGTACGTACGAGTATTACTTGTTTTCTAAAGTGTAATAACGCTTCGTCATGAATAATGTTATTTATTTAAATCCATCTTCGAGTTCAGAGACTGAGTAAATTACTCAATTGTATTTGGAATTTATCTCCTTACATGTGGTAAATTATGTTTAGTCTGTTGTACTAAATAAAGCCATGGGGAAACCAACAAGGCGTGTTGGTATTTCTGTCAGCCTTGTTGGTTTAGTGTTTTGTATATATGGGAGTATATCATCAGGTTTTAGGAATAGGTTCGGCTGAAAAAGTTTGAGGTTTTTAGTGAAAGATATTTTAGTAGCAGATATTTGTAATTAGTGGAGCTATGACCCAGTTAGTCATTAGATCTATATTAACATGAAACTAAAGTATTACATTTTATATATACAACAGATCCGGAGGTCTTCTCGTCGAATCCCGGGTCGGGTCAAGTTAAGTTATAAATTTTGGTTAACGAATTCTCAGTAGGAGCCTGAAGTTAAGTTAAGAAGTGTTCCACGAGAGGCGAGTGTTCCATGACTTAGAGATCACGTAAAACCGTCGGTCCTGCGCCTGATTCTCAGCGGTCATATCGAAGTGTTACCCCAACGGACTTTGAGAGTATAAAAGAATAGGAAGTGTACTTGTGTCTGCGTGTATAATATCTCCTGCGCAGTCTGCTTGTCTCAGGGAGATTGGCCGCCGTGGCTGAAATCTGTCAGGAAAACATCATAATAAATATATTATATTTACATATGAGTGTGGGATGTATATATGTATGTATATATTTATTTTTGCGTATATTTTTTATGTATATTAACTTTATGTTTATAGGAACTAATAGTGAATACGTAGTAAATTATTTCAATAAATTAATTCATTCACCTAAACCAAACACCAAACACCAAAGAGTGTCTAGAAAAATTCTCTTAAAATTCAAAAGCGCATATTTTTATATGAGTATAACTTAAATGAAAAAATTATTTTATGGATATTTTTGTTTATAAAAGGAAGACTTACCTATGAATGTCATGCTTTTACGCGTAAATGCTATCAGCGATCAAACTCACTCCAATTACACAAAGATAGTTCGTGACATCGAATATGCAATTTTTGTCTGATTAATCCGATAACCCACTTTATCAAAGTTGGGGAAGTATTCTTCTCTACGTATATATATCCATATCTCCTATATAACTGCAATATAACATAGTTTGTATCCATACTAATATTATAAAGAGGTAAAATTTGTAGGTTTGAGACGTTGTGGGGGGGGGGGGGTAGTCTCTAGATCTACCGAATGAACCGATTTAGATGAAATTTGGTGAGAAAATAGTTTGAGACCTTGAAAAGGACATAGGATACTTTTTATCCCGGAAATCATCCCTTAAGGGATGGAAGGGTGAAAATGGGGATGAAAGTTTGTATTGGGAAGCAAGCCAGGGACGAACCCGAGCGACGCGAGGGTGAGTTTTGAGTTCTGTATAAAATAATTATATTGTTATAAAAGATTAAAAGTTAAAGTCTTGATGTTATATTTTGTACATTGTACATACTAGAACGACTCACCATCGCTCTGCTCGGGTTCGTCCCTAGTTAAATTTTAACGGTTAAGTCTAGATTTCTCAGAGGTAAGATATTTTCCTGCAGTAAAAAGTATCATATATGTATGTTGATCCGGATAACTAGCTATCAATATACCAAATTTTATCAAAATCTGTCCAGTGGTTTTCTCGTGATGCGTTCACAGACAGACAAAGATTCTAAAAACTTTAGGTTCGGCCTCTGTATCGATTATAATGACTATTTTTAAAGATATTCCAAAACACATTTAATGTACAGATTCGACTTAGTTAAAATTTTATTTTATGTTAAGAAATTATTATTGAATGATGCGTGCAATTAAGCCTTTAACAAATCAAGCAATATAGAAAGGTTCGTTATGAGGCATATATGTAAATATAATATTATCTTTAAATAGCGTAGTTTATCAAATATTTACGATGCCTAATTTATGAAATATACATTGGAAAGATATGGATATAGGGCTTAGTTCGTTGTTTATAGGAAAAATAGAGCGAACGGTTAGTCTTACATAAGTCGAACACTAAATCTTGTACCATATGTCATGCGAGTTTGAAATATTGATTGAAAGGCCACAATTAATATATTTATCTGACTTGTGGCGTGAATTTTAATTTCTTTATAGGATTCATAAAATCGCATGTTTGGAGCATTCAAAGTTGTTAGTGCATTCTTAAGACATTTAAAAGTAATTTTCTAACATAATTATTCTCATAATAACTCCTTATTATATCGAAATATATAGCTAATATTTTTAATGCCGATTAAAGCACTCATCAAAATAGATTCAGTGCATGATTATACCTCAACTCCTCCATACAATAACAATAGGTTTTATTTTATTACCTACATATAATGATTATTTTACTATAAAAAATGAAATGAAATGCTTTATTTAAACTAAATTACATTTTAATACAAGTTATAAAATCGTCATTTCTTCCTTATATCGTCTTATTATGATAATAAAAAATTTCGTATGTAAATTCCTGAAATGATGTTAGAAACTGGCTTTTAATATTGTACAAACGTGATTGAAACTCTCCAAACTTGGAGTATTGGATGTGACTTTGCTTAAGATTTGTGACTGAATCGATATCTCCCAGGTTCATTTTTAATATTTTTTTTCACTTATATATGTATGTATTTAATGAAGTAGGTATTTAACATACAACCTAAACATATATAAGTGAAAAAAAATAATATTTTGTGTATTCATAACTCCTTAACATCTCACTGCTGGGCACAGGCCTCCCTTCGACGTGAAGGGGATCAGGCCATAGACCACCACGCTGACCAAATGCGGGTTGGTGTATTTCACATGTCTTTCGAAAACTTGCTATATGCTCTCAGACATGCAGTTTTTCTTACGATGTTTTTCATTTGTAAGAAAAGTGGTAATCTTGTTGAAAATGATTCACACATGAAAATATCAAAGGGCGAGAGCCGGGATTTGAACCAGTTTCACTTGGTTTTCCAAGCGAGCGCATTACCACTGGACCACTGCTTTACTGGGCTACAACTGCCTTCATTTATAATCACCTAACTATTTAACAATACTGTGCTCATAAATCTAAGAAGACGTTTTTAATGTACTTTATATCTCTATATGTACTCGTATATCTATTGTACCAAGTTAAATTTTTTTTGTGCGAGATTCATATCATAATATTACAATTCGGTATCATTGAGAAGTACTTAGTGGAACTTTTCAACGTTTCGTGGAAACTCCTAAGAGCTTAGTTTATTTTGACCAGATCATTTATTCATTTAGTGACAAGGATTTAATATTGAAAATACTAGCGACTCACCTTCGCTTCGCACGGGTTCGTCCTTAGGTTGATTCCCGTACAAACTGTCATCCCCATTTTCATCCTTTAAGGGATGATTTCCGGGATAAAAGTATCCTTTGTCCTTTCCAGGGTTTCAAACTATCTTCTTACCAAATTTCATCTAAATCAGTTCTGTAGATCCATAGATTACCCCCTACAACGTCACATATTATATTAGTATAGATTACTGCGTCAATGGTCTAGTGGTTAACATATACGGTTGCAGATCCGGAGGTCCCGAGATCGAGTCCCGGATCGCTTCAAGTATAGTTATTAGGTTTCATTTCTATCAAGATAGTCTAATATTAACCAGGAGTTCGTAAGTTGGTGGTATAGTTATTGGACCTGGCACCTGATCTCTCAACGATAGTGCCGATTTACCATAGTATGAGATTGACAGGAACAGAGAGTGCACTTATGTTTGAGGCGCATACTTGTGCATTTTAATATCTCCTTAGGGAAGACATTATTATTTTAATAATTATTAAAAAGAAAATTGCGTGGATATCAGCATAGTGGTAGCCTACTTGGAAAACAAGTAATGCGAGTTGAAGTCAAAAAAAAAGAACCATATAAATTGGGTTACAATAATTTCCATAACCAAAAAACGACGAACGTTAATGAAAC